CAGAGGCACGTCGGGTGGGGGCTTAGAGTCTGGCTTAGCGAGGTCTTCTGGCCGAGGGGGCACAGGCTTGGGTTGGCTGTCTTGTGCGACTCCTGCTTTTGGCGGTTTGGAAACTTGGTTAGTGTCAGAAGGTGCAGTGTTGCATGATGTGTCAGGCAGCTGAGATTGTGGTGTTGGGGTGCGTTGGCTGGGTAGGGGCTGAACCGGAAATAGCACCCTGCATCGGTGCTCTTCAATGTGTTTGCGCAAACTTGAGAAATCATAGAGCTTGACGCTGCAGTGCTTGCATTGTGGGAGACCCCCCAATGCGTCCTGGTGCTTGTCAAACCTACGCTGCGTTTGGTTGACCGGTCGAGCTTCATGGTGTTTGTGCTGTTTGGCCATATGTGCTAGCAGCGACGACCTCGTAGCGTAATAGACCCCGCATTCTGGGCAGGGGGTTCCAATACTGGTGTGGTCAGTGAGCTCAAGGAGGGTAGGGGTGTGCGCCACGCTAACGCTAAGTGATGCCATGACCCTCTGCCATGCATTGCTTTCCGGCCCGCGTCTGAAAGCGTCCGGAGACGTACTGATGTCGGAGGTCTCTTTGTGCAGTTGGCGCTTCAGTGCTTCAATCGGGTGCAGCAGTTTCCACTTCTCGAGGACATGGTGGTGTGATGTTCCCGTCATGTACACAGGGTCTCTGACCACAAGACGGATTTGCCGGATGAGCTGCGCCGTAAGGCGCTGCATTCCCATTGGGGTAAGCCCGCTCGCATCAAGGCTGTAGGTCGTGGCTGTATATACGCAGGCCTGCCATATGCGTAGTTTGTGATGTCTCGTCAGAGCATGTCTTCCTCTGAGTATCCTGGTTAGTCTACCAAAGTTAGTAGATCCGACCTCGAGCCGGTGCGCCAGGGTCCTGTCCTCGAAGTGATCATAGCTGACTATTGCACCCAGGTATGTGAAGGAGTCAACTAGCGGGATATCGTAACAGTGTCTGGCGCTCCTGATGCGAAGGATTCTGCCCGTGCCAGATTTGCGCGTGAACTTTCTACGCATTTGTTCCGAGCCTGGGCCTGTGCATCTTAAGATGGCTTTGCTTTTGGAGGGGCTGACCAGCATTCCCATTTCTTCAAGTGTATGAAGGAGCGCAGCTACTCGTCCTAATATGGTCTCTAGTTCGTGCTGTGTCTGGAACTCCCCTGAGCAGTGATAGTCGTCCGCAAAGATGTTAAGGAGGTCGACCGTGGCTTGGTACCCTATTTTGGTGGCAAGCGTGTCGCTGATCAGGTGGGAGAAAATGAGCCATAGCAGGGGCGCTACAGCTTGGGTGGCGTGAATGACCCTGTCTGTGCCGTCATGATTAATGTGGTAGTGGGCATTGTGGCGCCAGCAGAGCACGATCTGTATGAAGGGTTCCGGCAGCTGCATTCTATGCATTCCTTCCAGGAGTCTGTGCCTGGGCATTGGGCATGGCATCAAAGGCACCAGCTAGGTCGAGTGTGATCTGTAAGCCCCCTGCCATTGTTTTGGTGGCCGCGCCCGCAAATTTGTCATGTAGGGTGCTGCGGTGTGCTCGGCATCTGGATCTGACTTGGGCACAATGATCAAAGACGCGGCGCAGGGCGTCCCTATGGGACCTGCTCGGTGCGTAACCGTATTGTGGATATTGAGTTGTGTGACTATATATGAGCTCCGTATACGGTGCCACCAGCGCTTTGAACGTAAGCTTGCCTAGTTGATCCTGAAGGCCGATAGGCCTGTAATGTCCGGCTTCTGTGCCTGTTTTGTTGGGCTTACGAAGTAGGATAAGGTGGGCATCAGACCACCTTTGTGGCACAATGGTGGGACGGTTGCACCAGTTTCGGTCAAGCACTTTGCATACCTGCACCGCCGCTATATCCGCACAAAGTCGCCAGATCGCACTGGGTGGGTGTCCGTGTGGGACCGCTTTGCGACGTGGGGCTTTCTGAAGATGCTGTGCAAGTTCATGCGGGTCCAGCAGGGGCCCGTCTGGGGCCTCCTCAGGGTGGTTCGCTAGTTGGCAGGTGCCGGTCGTCATTTGCATGTCCGCATCCACACTGGCCGTGAACTTAGTGGTAAAGTGTTGGTGGAAGCAGGTAGCCTCCTCACTTCTGGACATCATTTGTCCTTTGGCGTTCCTAAGTTGCGGTCTACTTCTTCGGGTTTTGGGGGCCAGGGTGCGAACCACCTGATAGAGGAGACGCTGGTTGTGACTTTGTGCCGCTTTCTCCGCAGTCTGCATCTGTTCGAGGATATAACCCTTTTTTTTGGTACGGCAGCGGTCCTTGTGGCTTTTGTACAGGCGGTTGTAGCGATGCCAAGTTTGCCATCTGCCAAGGATGGCGCGAAGTGTGGTATCCCTGTTGTCACTGCGAGAGTGGCGCCACGCCCTCCACATGTCTTTGATACCCTGTTGCACGTGTGGCTGTTGCCAGCGCACAATTTTTGTTGTAGTCTGGGATGCCTTAGGAAAGTGTTTAGCAGCGATGTCTTGAATGATTGTGGAGATGTCTCCTGCTTTGGCGGCGGATTGCACCACCTCCAGCTGTGTTTGTACTTCTTGTCTGAATTTCACGACATCGGGGTGCAGTTCAGGATTCTTGTGCTGGGTGAGCTGCACAATTCGCTCTGCATCAACTTGGCGGAGTGGTTTGGTGGGTTTGTGGAAGATCTTAAAATAGAAGGGGAGTGTGGCGGCAATGGGTGTGTGCATGCCGCCTCCCTGTCTCCAGCCACCGACCGGGCAGTCATGGAGAGGTCTGGCCTGGCGTGCTTCCTTGGTGGAGTGGCTACTTCTTATCATAAGGTAGTCAAGTTGTGCGTGATGCTTGCCAAAGTGAAATGTGTGCGCTCTGCTCCCCGGGGCACCCCAGGTGTTCAGAACTGTGAGAGAGTGCGTGGTGGGGATGGTGCTACATCCGGGGCCCGCTCCGCCGAAAGGGCACCCGTCCCATGCCCGATGTGTGGGTGGAGGGGGGGGAGTTGGACGTTAAGGTCCCCACCTATGATCAGAACCTCTCTATAGGGTATGCCGCCTATGCAGCGGGCTAGCTTCTGCCAAAATACACTGCGCCTCTCCAGAATGTGGGCGTCTTTGGGGTTCCAGGCGTGCTGGTATGCACATATGACGCAGAGCTGTAGCTCCCAGCGGAAATCTAGCGCGCAGGAGTCTGCCTGGGATCACTGCGTCGTGTCTGACCTCCTGTATATTTGCGATGGATTTCCGGATCAGGATCATGACGACTCCTGCATGCTTCTGGTTTGGAGTGCCTGAGCCAACGCAGATCCAATTGGGGGTCGAGTACTCGCTATCATCCCGGAGCTTGGATTCCTGGATCAATGCGACATCATAGTGTGATTGGTCAAGGAAGCTCATAAGGTCTTCATACATGCCCGAGCCCAGGCCTCCCACATTGTGGCAGTAGACCTTCAGGTTGCGTTGAGGGTTGCGATTCTGGGGTGTTCTGGTAAGTGTATACTGCTCGTGATTATTCGTGTGTCCATCTACTGTGAGTATGCGTCCTCTGTATACAGCCTGTCCGTGATTGATGGCGCGGCCACATGCTCGCTTAAAAGATCTCTTGACGTATCGACTCCAGTTGTGAGTAGGTTCCTGCTTCCCATATACGACCTGTATTCCGTTTTGCTTCGGCACTACTGGTGAGCACATACGGCCTATTGGGTTGCCTTCCCCAGCCCCAACGGAAAGAGCTGGAACCCTCACACTGTGGGAAAGCTGACACTGTTATGAAGGGCTTTGAGGATAAGGCCACCTTTCATCGGCCAAGCTGCAAAATGCATACTTTTCCAATATTTGACAATGCATATTTCCAAAATGCATATTCAGAAATGCATATTCAGAAATGCATCTGCCCTGAAATGCATATTCAGAAATGCATATTTCCAAAATGCATATTCAGAAATGCATATTCAGAAATGCATCCCCCGGGAAACGCATATTCAGAAATGTATTCTCCCTGAAACGCAGCGCCGTCATCGCACAGGGTTTGGCTGAGGTTGCACCGGCATGATCAGGCAGTGATCAACCCAGCAGTGTGAGTCAAGAACATCAGGAGTAGAGAATCGAAGCCATTTTTTGGCATCATCGCTTCATTGTAGCTGGTAGCAGCACCAGCTGCAGCAGCAGGCACGGTAGCCGGCCATGACATCTGCCATGCCTGAGACTGCTGCTGATGGTGCTACAGCTGCTACACAGGATGAGTTTGTTTCCCAGCTAGTCGGAGAACTCCTCAAACGAAGCAACACAGCGGAGCAGACGGTAGAGGGCTTGCTAGAGGCCTACCAACAAGAAGCAGACGACTGCCAAGCTGCTGAGAATGCGAGGGCTTTCACAAGTTCAGCTGGCGATGACTCGGAGTCCTCTCAGTCGTACAGCCCAGAAGCGAGCCAGTCGTCAGACCCATCGCAACCTGTCAGAACAAGTTGTTGGTGGGCGAACAAAATCAAGGCACATTCACAGGACTTTGTGCGATGTGATGCAGCAGAACTGCCTGCACTGAAGCAGACCCGTACTGTCCTCTCTGCCTGCACGGGCTGCTTCGCTGAAGCCGAAATCCTGAAGGCACGTGGGCAACATGCGTGGAACCTGTTCGCAAAGCTCTTGTAAGCCAGCAGGTGGAGGCTAGAGGCTAGCGGCTAGTCAAATCCGTGATGAGCAAGTGAGAGTGTGTCTGAGTGTTATCTCTCTCTGTCTCGGTGCCTCTGTCTCTGTGGGTGGTTGGGCAAGGTTGGGTTTGTTTGTGTGTGTGTGTG